ACCTATCACCACCTCGTGGGCAAGAAGCTCATATCCGACTGGTGGAACGACGTCGTATGCACAGCCGAAGGGTACCCTGCCACATCACACCACACCACACCACACCACACTACACACCCCTGCACACAGATCTACGTGCGGCAGATCTATGTGTCCATCCATCCATCCATGTGTGGGGTGTGTGGTTTCCCTCTCCTGTCTGTGTGTGTGTGTGTGCAGCCGTAAGGCCCTCGCTCCCCTGGCCGAGGCGATTGGCGAGCATGCCACACAATACAACAGTACGGACGGACGGACGTGATACCTACCGTTCTGTGGGTGTGTCACTGATCTCTGTCTGTCTGTGTTGGTATGCTAACTGTGCGTGTGCCTCCGCGCCTCCACACCCATACAGACAAGAACAAGCATGCCTCCAAGACCGACGCTGACGCCTGGCGAGAGTGGGCCCAGAACACCGATACCAAAATGAAATCTTTCTACAAGTTTCAGCAGAGTAAGCAAACTAGAGAGCAACGGAGGGAGGGAGGGAGGGAAACACACATACACACACACACCGGGGCAGAATGTTGGCTGGCCCCGTTTATGGAGCCCCGTGTGTGTGTTTGTGTGGTCATGCAGTCGTGACGTGGATGCCCGGTGACCTCGTGCGTGGCCCTCCCCCCGGCGAGCGCAAATCCGACCCAGGTAGGCAAAACGATTTCGCCGTCGTACACCCAGGATGGTCTACATTTGGCCTGTCGTTTGGCCTGTCGCACACGTCGTTTTGGCAGGCTCCGAATTCGACCACGTAGGCACACAGGGGCGAAGGGGTGCACTCAGCGGCAAAGCGCCAAGACGTTCATTGTTGATTCTCTCTCCCCCTCTCTCTCTCTGTGTGTGTGTGTGTGTCTGTGTGCGTGACGTGCGTCATGTCTCATGTCTTGAGGAGGTGGCGTGGTACCGTGGGTGTCTGTCCGACGGGAAGGCAGTGGCAACCTATTTCACAGCTGCAGCACACGTGAGTCCATCCATCCATCGGTCGCGGTGTGTGTGTGGTGTCGCGATGAATGAATGACTGCACCCCTATGTGTCGCCTGTGTGTGCGCATCCTTGTTTGTATGCATCCAGGCTATTCGCGGTTATTGCGACGGCGACGCGACCATCGTCCGAGCGCAGGAAGGTGCGAATAACATGGCCAAGGTGGCCACCATACAAGGCGACGCCGCACCATTCAGACCCAAAGAATGGGGCAAAGGCACACGAAGTATGGACACAATCCAACAGACAGAGCCCCCTCCCCTTGTTTGCGCCTGTCTGTCCTTGCTGCATTCTGCTGTTCGTGTGTGTGTGTGTGTCGATGCAGGCCGCGGTCGCGGCAGGACGGTGTGGATTGCCCAGGGCGCCCCAGTGGGCAAAGTCCTGTACGAGAAGAACCCCAAGGCCTACTGAGAGCACTACGGCGGTCAGTTCGACACCCAGCCCTACTACGTCGACAGCAGCCCGCCCTTTGAGGGCCAGCCCCATCCTGCCCGACCTGCCGAGCCAGAAGAGGAGGAGGGGCCGGACACTGAGGAGGAGGAAGAAGACAAGACGGAAGAAGATGAGCCTGAGCCTGAGCCCGTCACCCCCCGCGAGGACACAGACCGC